ATTATTATTATTATTATTATTATTATTATTATTATTATTATTATTATTATTATTGTTATTATTATTATTATCATTATTATTATAAACAAATAATAACAATTATGATAAAGATAAAAATACTATTGCAACGATGATGGCAATGTTTATAATGATAATGATGATACTGATATTGATGATAGTTATGATGGTAATGATTAATGATTTTGTCGATATTGGTGTTGTTGTTGTTGTTGTTTTTGTTGTTGTTGTTGATGATGGATGATGATGATGTTAGGATGAAACTCCGCACACTGTTAATAAGTATCTAGCCTGACTGTGGCATAAAACACGATTTTCACTTGCTCGCCCTTTGAATCAGACTCCTGGAAAGCTTTGGTTTCATGATCATTAGAGCTTGAATAAAGAACTCACGGTGAAGAAAAAGCCAGGTCCTTCCGCCTCGAAGCTAGCACCAAGCACGAACTTGGAGCCTTTCTCCGACAGATTGACGATTGTGTTTATAAAGTTGCCAATCCACTCGAAAATACTATAGCCGACTTCAGTGCGCAAGACCAAACTGGCAAACAAGAATTGGATGATGAAGCCCCAGAACACAGGGTGCCAATTCACCTGAAATTACAAAAAAACAAAAACCAAAAAAACAAAAACAACAGATTTAGAAAATGAGTGCGGGAACGAACATTCTATCTACAAGGTTATACTGAGACACACAAAAAAATCTTCATATCCTTGAAGCGTACTACCGTTACCTTATGTACTTTCAGAGTTTACAAAAGTCTTCTAAATTGGCATTTAAAAAAAATAGAAAACATTCACTTAAATGCCTTGTTGTCGCATCAAAGTAACAGAAACTCAGAAAAGAAACATTGGGTTCGAAAGACGAATAAGAATTAGCATGCACACGAATGGTATTGAAAATGCTCAAGGTTTTGAAGAATATGTTGCGAAACATATTCTTATATTGCATGTATTAAAAAAAATGGATTTGTTAAGTGTCTTGAAAAACAGTGACTAGAGTCACTTCCGTGATAGAGATAAGGAAAAAACGTTTATTTTTTATACTGAATGATTATGACAACATCTTCCCTTAATTACTGAATTAGTCACAAGAATAATTATCGTTAATACCTGTTCTTTCACCTTTATCTAAACAAAGGAACAGAAAAACAAGGGCAGCGCCAAAAACCGAATGGTCATATAGATATAAAAAAAGAAAGTCAGAACCCACAATAAGCGAACAATTTGTTCTCTAAGTCTACCATACGACTATGCAAAAAAAAGCTGTTCTTAACACAGGATTAAGAAAACAAGTTATCTTTTAACGAGTAACACAAGATTATGAAAGCAAGAGTGTAACACAAGATTATCCAAACAAGTTGTTTTTGAAATTGTGAGATTGTTTGTTTGGGGGTTCGAGACTCAGCTCGGTCTGATGTTGTGTCCTATGGAAAGGCACTTACTTTACTCGATCTTCCCATTTGGCTCGGTCCTTCCAGATGTAGACGTTAAACTCTTAAATAGCCTGGTAGCTTTGATAGGGGCGTTGAACTTATACCATTCTATGCACGCTGTTCTTTAACGTGTAACACAAGCTTATGCAAACAAGCCTTTTCATTAACGTCTTACATACGATTACACAACGCTGTTGGTCAAACTAGTCGGTAAGTACTGACCCTGCTGGGGCTGTGAGAGAAGAGGAAGCAGATAATCAGCGTAAACGTGATACCAAGGATGGCCTGTGCGTTCTCGTGGTGTTTGCTGAGGATGTCAACCCCCAAGTAGATGGCCAGAGCTACTACCGCCGCCACGTACAATATGCTGGACGTTGAAGAAAAAAAAAACAACAACAACCGGAGGTTAACATCGGCTCACAGTCAACAAAGCTAACATCGACTCCACTTTATCCCTGCCTAGCTACCGCTATTTGTCTCTTAAAATGTCTAAATTGTTAGATAGCGAACTAGACAGTCAGCCAACCCGCCAGAAAGATAGACAGATAGATAGATAAATAGATGGATAGATAGATAAATAGATAGATAGATAGATGGATAGATAGATAGATAGATAGATAGATAGATAGATAGATAGATAGATAGATAGATAAATGCCAGGGTGAGTCAAAAAGTAATGCAAATTCGTTTATAACTCAAAGAAAAAAGAACACACTTGCAACTATGATACCTCAAATTGAAGGGGAGCATCTGAGGATCAGATTTTTATTTCTCGACATAGTCTCCATTTCGTTCAATAGCTACAGTCCACCTTTTACTAAGTCCACCTATACCAGCTTCGTAAAACTAAGCAGGTTGGTCGTAGGGCTATAGCAATCTGCTTTCTCCATCGTTTCTATAGTGTTGACCTCTCAATGGTTCTTTTCTAGAACCGAAAAGGTGGAAGTCTAAAGGAGCCAAATCGGGAGAATAAATAGGGCGGAGAAGTGTTTTCCACCTAAACGAGGTGACTATCTTCCTTGTTCTGGTACTCGAATGCAGGCGGGAATTGTCATGGTGAAAAAAAAATAACTCTTTCCATGTTCAAATTTGGTCGGACTCGTCGAATTCTCGCTTTCCGTCATTTCAATGTAGGGTTCAGAATTGACAGTTGCTCCTCGTGCTAAAAAAAAATAAATCTGTGAGAAGCACGCTATGAACGTCCCAAAACACAATTGCCATGCTTTTTCTGGCTGACTCCTCCAGACGATGCTTGGCTGATAAGCGTATGGACACGCCTTCCTCTTCTTCCAGTTAATTGTACATACATATACAGTGCCAAAATCTAGAGCTTGGTCCTTGTAAACATTTTGAAGTCAGTTTTGGATGTTATCGGTGGATTCTACTTCTATAACAAAGAATTCAATCACTGATCTTTACCTCTGACAGACCTCCAAGAGGGTAGCCATTTTGATGTGACATCATTCGGGCCAAAATTAAAGAAACTTAAATTTTAACAATTTGGGTTCTAAAGTATATAAGCAAGTAGGCTACTTGTGAGCTGAATTTCATTAAATTTGAGGCAAAATTGTGCAAAATATTGAACAACTTGCACTACTCTTTGACTCCGCTCGTAGATCTACATTCTCTCACGTCACCTCTTGTCTCTTTAGGTGTTTATGCTATGTACTTCTCTGTTACGTTCTTCTCATTCTTATCTTAAGACTAGTATTATCCTCCTTTCTTCTTTGGCTACAGACATGGAGACGTTTCACTCTACTCTACAGCAACATGCACGTTGCCAGATCAAAGTATGTCAGTACTTTTGAGCGCGTATCAAATACCTTCCTCCCCCGCCCCCTTGCACGAACCTTTCAAAAGAACGCGATCTGGTCGGTATCATGAAGCGCACTTGACATGTTATCTATTATCGACACATTGTTATGGCCAGGTTACTTTTGTAGATGGTACATGGTTACTTTTCTAAATTTTAAAATTAATTTTCAGTTGGCTCAAGTGATAGAAAACACATTGCAAATCTCGATCTAGGTATAATTTGTAATTTACGTTATTCTTTATTGAAAACTGTATTTAAAAAACAACCCCCTCCATGTCCTTTAAGCGGACACGTTCAAAAGTATCTATTCTGTGTTCAGAGGGCAGTACTAACAAATGGAGCAGTCAACACAATGAAAAGCAAAGACCAAAACAAGGAATAAAGTGAAGTCGACTAGGACTTGAAGGCACACCATTTACTCTGACTCTTAGGACGTCAGCTTGGTGTAGTAGCAAAATATTATTTTCGTAGAGCGAAGACAGAGGGCTCAATTCCAGCAAAGAAATTCAGAAAGGGAATTTGGCGACGATGAAACTGTGCATTATGCCTTCTGTATAATTAATCTCTTTTGAAATGTTGGTTTAACACAGCCTCACAAAAGATACAGTCATACCAGCAAATAAGCAAGAGCTCTTACTAAGTCATCCATTTCCGTATTTGCTTGGACTTCGGCGAAGTGCCGTACCAAGTGCTGAAACTGATGACCACCTCGGAGATTCTCAGCTCTTTGTGGAATCTGTGCACAATGTAAAGAGCCAGACCCACAGTCACACCCACCAAAACATAAGAACCCTCGTCACCAAACCTGTGGAACGTTGCAAAGTGTTACATTTAATACGTTTATTTCAGATTATACATATGCATTGAACACACACACACACACACACACACACACACACACACAC